GGAATCGATATATCTCCCTCATTGCCTGGAATCGATATATCTCCCTCATTGCCTGGAATCGATATATCTCCCTCATTGCCTGGAATCGATATATCCAACCAAGCTTTAAATTAGTGCAGTTAACAAAAGTAATCAAGCACATTAAAGAGCCTACCTTCCATTCAACATCCCCATTGAATATTTCACTCTTAGCGATGTCGACTCTGTTCCAGGCCACAGCCAGCTTCAGCTCATCCAGATATTCCTGAGCTTCTTGACTATGACTCTTACAGGCTATTACAAATGTAATGTGAACATTGACATAGATTTAAATCAGGTTAAATATCTCAAAAACGTGATGAACTCAAAGACTGAGGTCGAATCTGCATTTGCATTTTTAAATCAGTTTCGTGCTGCTTTGACGCCGTCTTTCTCTATGCTTGTTTGAATGTTGTTTGGAGAAGATTCTTTTAAAGCAGTGCAGAGGTGCAATGACAGTGGAGCCCCCCCCACCCGAAAGGACGATAAACATATGTGGACGTGCAAAAGTATGCTAGCACTCTTGAGGTGTGAAAATGACACCAAATGTAGACAGCTTTTTTGAAGACAAAGTCAAAACGCTGGGACACCGGTGGGAAAGACAAATGCAGATTCAGCCTGAACGAAAGAACATAGCTCAAAGAAATAGTACCGTTTCTTAATTACTTATTGGGTGTTTTTCTTCCAAACATCAAAACTGACATGTTTTAGTGCTGTTTTTTCTCCCTAGCAGTTCCTTTAAAAAATGAGAAGAATGATCAAGAACAGCTCCAAAAATGAAGCTTGTTAAAACTGATGCAAGTGACATCTCAGGGAATTAAAAAGCAATTCGAATAGCCTTGATGTGTGGTCGACGGTGTCCAGCATCTATGCCAAGCCAGGTACAATTAATTCCACAGTCAAGCAACAGAAGCAAGCCCCTGTGTCACTGGCGATGCCGCTGGGGCAGGCAACTTCGGAGCTCAATTACTTATTGTTTTAAAAGTTTCCAGTGGCGCTGAGTCACAGATGCCCTGAGCATGAGCTATCCAAACTTAAGCCATGTTAAGCCTCATTGATTTCCATTGAGTTAGGCAAGTGCTTTAGAGGAAGAAGAATGGGTTTTTATACCCCACTT